GAGAGAGAGAGAGAAAGAGAGAGAGAGAGAGAGCTGAAGGGGTGGGGATGGGGGGTGGGGGGGATAGGGAGTACCCGAGAACCATGTGACCTGCCACAGTGCATATGCATGTGAGAAAACTCTATAAACAAGACTCGTCTGGAGAGCAATGAGGATTCTTCGAGACGTGCCCTAAAGACGGGGATGCTGCGGCGAGGTATGCGAGGAAGACAGGAACACAGCCAGACAGACAAGACATACTGAGATAAGACAGAGAGACTGACAGAGATAAGACATACTGAGATAAGACAGAGAGACAGACAGACAGACAGACAGACAAGACATACTGAGATAAGACAGACAGACATACTGAGATAAGACAGACAGACATACTGAGATAAGAGACAGACAGACAAGACATAGCGAGATAAGACAGAGAGACAGACAGACAAGACATAGCGAGATAAGACAGACAGAAAGACTAGGTAAAGAAATGAGATGTGTGCATATGCGTGTGTGTATGAGTGAATGAGTGACTGAATATGTGAGTGAGGGAGGGAGTTTGTGAATGAGTGAGAGTGAGTGTGTGAGTGTGAGTGTGAGTGTGAGTGTGTGTGTGTGTGAGAGAGAGAGAGAGAGAGAGAGAGAGAGAGAGAGAGAGAGAGAGAGAGAGAGAGAGAGAGAGAGAGAGAGAGAGAGAGAGAGAGAGAGAGAGAGAGATAACGAGAACAAGAGAGAACGAGAACAAGAGAGAACGAGAACAAGAGAGAACGAGAGAGAGAAAGAAAGAGCGAAAGAGAGAGATTAGATCATCCCCATTAGGCATTTAACGAAGACGGAGGGAAGTAGGTGATATTGTCATCAAGGAACAGGAGGAAGAAGACAACAAAGAAGGAGAAAAGGAGAATAAGAAGATTGCCGAGGAAATTGCACACGACATGAGAACAGCGAGCGAAAGAGAACAAAAAATATTATAACTTGTAAGAAGGATGCAAGACAGTATGAGAAATAATACGTTATGAAGAAGAGAGAGAGAGAGAGAGAGAGAGAGAGAGAGAGAGAGAGAGAGAGAGAGAGAGAGAGAGAGAGAGAGAGAGAGAGAGAGAGAGAGAGAGATAAGGTAAGATAAGGTACAAGAAAAAGAAAGTGAGAGAATAGAAAGAGAAATAAATAAAAAGCAGAAACGAAAAAAAAAAACAGATCAGGAGAAAAAGAGAAAGAAGGAAAAGGAGGGAAAAAATATATAACAAAAACAACAACCAGCAACCAAACTCCTCTTTTCTTCCAAGGACCAAGCTACGGAAGCCACAGCGGCATGGCGGGAGGACTCAGGAGTCATGAGCCGAACCCCGACAACACACGTCATGCAGTAACAGCCACTCAGGAAGCATGACCCAACCCTATCACACACGCAATAACAAGTAGCGAACCCCCACCCCCATCATCCCCTCCCTTTCCTCCCTCCCCCTCTCCGAAAACCGTAGAACTATAGTAAGCGATTTTCGATTTACTAGCACATACGACAGATCACTCTTGCCCCCCTCCCTTCCCCTCCCACCCCCCCCTCCCCACACTCCCTTGCCCCCTCCCTCCCCCCCCCTCCTCACACTCCCTTGCCCCCTCATCTCCCCTCTCCCTCAGCCTCTCCCCCCCCCCTCCTCGGACCTCCCTGCTCCCAAGTAACAGCAGCTGTGAGTGAGTGACTGCCCCTCCCCCCCTTCCCCCCCCTTCCCCTTGCAATTGGAAGTCCTTCTTAAAATGGCCCCTTCCAGCGAGTCAATTCAATGCCCGTAACACCAATTATCTCTCGTCCATTAAGAATCGCACGATTGCTTACCTCCCCCCTTCACCCCTCCCCCCCATCCCCCCCTCCCTCCCTCCTCCCCATCCATCCTTCCATCCCCTTCCACTCTTCTTCTACCCCCCCACCCCACCCCCACTCTTGTCTGTGCCCCCCCCCCCCCCTTCGGTTCCCTCACGTCATAAGTTCAAGCTGACTCAGGGTTATTCTTCTATACGATATGCTTTAGATGATGATGATGGAGTCTCTCAGTTCCCGCGAAATATTCTTTTTTTTTCCTTCTTCCTCTTAAGAAAGAAAGAAAGAAAAAAAAAACATAATTTTTATACAAACGCTCGAGATACTCGGATTTCGAGCGGGAGAGAATATCTGTATCAATGGCAAGAGAATACTACATTAAACCCCTCACTATGGCAACGTGGCCAATTTAGTCAATTACGGCCACTGAAGCATCCCCTGCTAACCTTTGGCCTCGAAAAGTGACCAATCATATTTCACGTCCCTGTAAACACGCATTAAGATTGGTCGACTCTGTGCTCGCGGTTGGCTCCTTTCAAGAGCAACCGCGGCCGCCAGCCAATCGCAATCGAGAGCCCGTCCGGCGCCGCTTCTCATTGGTCGGCTGGCAGCGGAGCGTGAGTAAAGCGGCGGGTAATTGGCTAGGCCCGAGGCGGCAGCGAAGAGGATGTGGGATGGAGGCTGGGAAGGGTTACCGCCTCA